GTGCTTTTCTTGGCGGAGACAAAAATCTCAGAGGCTGCACCGATTAACCATCTCAACTTCCCAAACTACGAGGTGCACTCCAATCTGAGAAAGAACGGGGGAGTTGTGGCTTTTGTCCGCAGCAGTCTTTCCTGCTCCAGGGATCTTTCTTTGGAATCAGACCGGAAGGACATTCTGTGGCTTCGCCTCAACTCCAAAACATCACCCAAATTTATTTGCTGCCTTTATCGCTCTCCCTCGAACCATAACTGGGATGACCTACTCGAATACCTCGCCGTCCAGATCGACTTCCTGAACATCAATCACCCCGCTTCAGAGGTAGTTCTTCTCGGTGATTTCAATGCCCATAATGAGCTTTGGTTGGGCTCAAATAAGACCGATGCAGCAGGTCGTGCAGTCGAAGCGTTCGCTCTTACTCAAGGGCTGACCCAGCTGGTGACGAGCCCTACTTTTTTCCCCCGCGTCTCGTCACACGCCAGTAGCCTGCTGGATCTCTTTCTGACCACGCATCCTGCCCCTTACAGCACTGCCGTCCTGTCCCCCCTGGGTAACTCAGATCACGGTGTTGTGGAGGTTAGGTTTCGGTCAGAAGCCGCTGTGGCCGCAGAAACTCGCACAGGCCGCAAAACTTGGCATTACGGACATGCCGACTGGGAGGGGCTCAGAGACTTCTTCTCTAGCTTTCCTTGGAGAGATGTCTGTTTCACTGACGCGGATACGTCGACTGTCTGTTCTTCAATAACCGAAATTATCCACGTCGGAATGGAGGAATACATCCCTCACACAGTGAAAGTTCCTAAACCAGGGTCCAACGGCTGGTTCAACAAATCGTGTGACACTGCTCGCCAGCAGAAGATCAAGGCCCACAGAACCTACTTACAAAACCCCACTGTAGAGAACAGACAAGCCGACGTCGAGTCCAGAAACAAATATAACGAAGCGGTTCGCAATGCCAAAACCCAGCATGATATAAAAGTTAGGCACAGGGTAATGTCGCAGCGCAATGGCAGTCGGTCTTTCTGGACGCTGGCCAAGCAGATTGAAAAGAACTTCTCACACAGTAGCCTTCCACCACTTACGTGTCAGGATGGAACTATTGTATTCGACCCAAAGGCCAAGGCGGAAGTGCTAGCCAAGATCTTTGCTGCCAACTCCACCATGGACGTCCCCACCAACGCCCAAGTGCCGTCAATTCAAAGGGTTCCCCATACTATGCGGGAGGTAACATTCAGGCATAAGACCGTAAGACGAGTGCTCTTGTCGCTCGACATCAACAAAGCTTCTGGTCCGGACTTGATTCCTGCCATTGTACTGAAGAGATGTGCAGCTGAGCTTGCTCCAGTTCTTTCGCGTCTCTTCCAGATATCTTATGAATCCGGCACCTTCCCAGAAAACTGGAAATTTGCTCATGTACAGCCCATCCCAAAAAAAGGATCTAAAACCGACCCTTACAACTACAGGCCTATAGCTCTGCTTTCTGTTATCAGTAAAGTGATGGAGAGGTGCATAAATCGCGAGCTTCTGGACTACCTCGAACGTCACAGCTTGATTAGCGACAGGCAGTACGGTTTCCGGCACCAACGATCCACAGGGGACCTCCTAGCTTACGTCACGCAACTGTGGAGTAAACTCATCCAGTCTCATGGTGAGGCTCATGTCGTTGCTCTTGACATCACGAAAGCGTTCGATCAGCTGTGGCACGCTGCCCTCTTGAGCAAACTTCCATCCTACGGCCTCCCAGAAAAGCTTTGCAGATGGGTGGCTGACTTTATCTCTGGCCGCAAGATATCCGTCGTAATTGACGGATTCTCCTCTTCATCTCACAACGTCAACGCGGGGGTTCCCCAGGGATCGGTCTTGGCTCCAACACTGTTTCTCTTACATATCAACGACCTCCTTTCCTGCACGATCAACCCAATCCACAGCTTCGCTGATGACAGCACTCTACATGCAGGAATTCAGAGTGACAAGCCGATCTCTGCCGCTGAGCTGGAAAAAAGAAGACTAGCGACGACTTCTTCTCTGACAAGAGACCTGGAGGCTATCACTGCTTGGGGACGCAACAACTTTGTACAGTTCAATGCTTCCAAAACACAGTACTGTACTTTGACGAACAAAAAGCGTCCTAGCGCTCATACAGTTTCGATGGACGGTCGAGTTCTACCAAAGAGCCATTCATTTCGGCTGGTCGGAGTCCAGATCACCGAGGACCTGATCTGGCACGAACACATCTCTTCAATAGCTGCAGCTGCTGGGAAAAAGCTAGGCTATTTGTTTAGGGCTAAGAAGTACTTTTCTCCGCATGACCTTCTCACTCTATACAAGGCCCAGATAAGGCCTAGCCTCGAGTATTGCTCACACATTTGGGGTGCTGCCGCCCCGACTACATTGTCCATGCTCGATGCTGTCCAGAGGAGGGCGGTCCGACTGATCGATGACTCTTCTCTAACAGACAGCCTCGGGACTCTTTCGCACCGGCGGGCCGTCGGCGATCTAGCTCTTTTCTATCGCTACACCAACGGGCTTTGCTCCTCAGAGCTCTCTTCCATGATGCCGCCGCGCGATGTGCCTGCCAGACAGACCCGCCTGACTTCGGCGTCCCATCCTAGCCGTGTCAAACTTCGTACATCCAGAACTGGCCGATACGACCGCTCCTTTGTCCCGAGGGTGTCCAGATTGTGGAACAAACTACGGGAGGAAGCTTTTCCCAGTTCTACTAACCTTAGGCAGTTCAAAAATCGTATTAACAAAATTTCTTTGGGATCATCATAGCAGCCGCGGTGTTCCGGCATTTAGGCTTCTGCCTGCGCGGCTGTTTCGATATAAAAAAAAAAAAAAAAAAAAAAATGTTCTAAGCCTCTCAATAAGTCTTTGACCACTCTTTCTCCTAAATTTATTTCCGTTTTATCTCCTACCTTTCCGGTATAAATCTGAAACCTGTACAAATAGCCGGACTGATCGGCGAGACTCCAGACTTTGTAGCCCCTTTTTATAGGCTTTTTTGGTAAATATTGCTTGATAGAACTCCTACCTTTAAATCGAATCATAGACTCACCTATGGCTAGCTTTTCTTGCGGTTCAAAACATCTTTCAAAATTTTCAGAAAGCCTATTCAAAAAAGGGCGAACCTTATATAGCTTATCATAGTTTGGCTCATTTCTACCAGGCATAAGACTATTGTTATTTAGATGTATATGGCTGAGTAGCCATCCAAAGCGATTTACTGACATTAATTTGCTGATATATTCATCGTGTAGGTCTGGGCTAGAACTCCAATAATCTCTATAGCTGGGCAAAGGTTTTATACCCATCAAAATGTTGATTCTCAGAAAGACCTTAATTTCGCAAACGTTCGTTGGAGCAAACCGCTTGCCTTCTTGCGTTGCATATAAATTAGTCTCGAAAACAATGTAATTGATAATTTCATCGGTAATAAGACAATTAAAATATTTATATGGCGTTGGACTTTCAATGCTTTTAACTATATCTGTTAGACCCCTTCTGTGAGTGAATTGGGGATCGACATTTACCCAACCATTTTTTTTCCAAACTGGTGGATGAAATTCTTGTACACCCAGCCGGTCTCTGATGATTTGTTGACGTAAAATGGAAAGTGGTATGTCATCTTCCACGAGATCTTCAGCATCGTCGTTGGGTTCATCAGAATCCTCTGAAAGTAAGATTTCCTCTTGCAAAGTTTGATGTAGAAGCTCCGGTTCTTCATAATCCTCTGCCAGAGTCGACTCTTGATCAGAAGGTATGTCAACTTGTTCGATTTCTTCGAGAAACTCTTTGTATGACCAACCTTTCAGCCTGAATGGCAATTCGTCCATTGTCACTGAAATTATATTCAGAATTCAGAATTTCCCCCGAAAGAAAAAAATCAACGTATGCATAATTATGCAAACAACCATTACTAATTTACCATGACTACTATCCTTGTAGCACAAAGGTACAATTAACGTACCACCTCATAAGTAACAAAATATCAATAATTATCGTAATTAGGTACTTACCATTTAAAAACAATACTATGTTATATCCCAGTAAACAACAAATAGTGAATAATATAAACTTTGGACACTATTTTACATAAATAAACAAGTGATTAATCCGTAGCACACCGTTCACCGGCAATAACAAATGTAATACATGGTAACATAACCTAAAAGTTAAAACGTGGTCACCAGCGGGATTTTTCACCCGAATCAGTTGGAACACGGAAACGCGGGTGGTATATATTTTATGGCATCGTGTCGCAAACAATATGATATTGGAAATGTGGTACGAATGTTGTATCATCGTGCAATAAATGCAGATGAAATGGTGGTACAATTATTATGTCAGCATGCCTCTAAGGGTTAAACAGTTATAATATGGTTATACCCGCATGAAATATTTTAAAATTGTAAAGTTTAGTTACCGTTACAAATAAAAATTATGTTTTTAATTGTTATACCCACATCAAATATTTAGAAATTCTAAAGTTCAGTTACAGTTATAAAAAATATGTTTAAATTGTAAAGTTCAGTTACAGTTATTAAAAAAACGTTACTAGAATAAGTTTTTTTTTTATTATTGCGATTACTTACCTGTGATGACAGTGCCAAGGTATTGCTAAGTTATGTTTGAGAAATCCATTGCTGAAATATATAATGTGAAAATGATAACACTATATTTACTTTAAAAATACCCGTCCAAACCTGCTTGTAACCTTTAAAACTAGTTTTAACCACTAAGGATAGGTTACACCCGAGACTAACCAACTGCCAATGGCTACACTCAGTTCTAACCTAGTTGTCACCGCATTTCGGGTTTTAGCTGTAACATATGTAGGTACCACAAGTCATTTAACATCCAAAAAACATGGATTTTTGTCGCGATTGGAGTAGGAAGTAACAATAAGCTTGATTCCAATTTCTTTCGGGTCTATTTTCACATATCGATGTAATGATATGTATGCTGTAATGGTACCAAGGAGGAAAAGTAAAAAACGCTTCGTGGTTTACAGTCCAGTAGTATTTATTAATAAAAGTACAAGCCATACAGACGGTACTTAATCGTAAGGGAACAACATTTTAGTGAGAATAGTTTAGTCCTTAAGGACCTTGAAAAAGTATTCAAGTTCTAGGACAGTATCCTCCGGCAGATCAGTACAATGTACAGCACTTTTACACTTGTCAGTTCCGAACTCAGCTCTCAAACTTCCAGGGCGAATTTGTCTAGCTATCTCAGGATCTACTGGGCCACATAATTTTCTGCAAAACAGTTTTCCAACATTTATTATGATCCGCACATACAAAGGGTTCCATACAAGTTTTGCAATACAGCTGTATTTATTGACTTCAATCAAAGTAATTTCCACCACATTAAAAAAAACAGTGCGTAAACCACCGCTGTCAAGTTCCACCCGAGAGTGCGGCACACTCGTTGACCCAAGCCCTCAGAAGGTCCTCATCGCTAGAAAACCGTTTTCCTTTTATCTTCCTTTTCACATGCGGAAACAGTGCAAAGTCGCAGGGAGCAAGATCTGGACTGTAAGAAGGGTGCTCAATAAATTTCAGTCCAGTGGTGGTCAAATACTCGGTGCAGGCTATGGCGCGGTGAGCTAGAGCGTTGTCATGGTGGAGGTGCCAAGTGTCCATTCTAGACTTCGGCAGCAGGTTTTTCATAGACCCTATGACTTTAGGCAGACACTGTTCCGTGTACCGCTTAGCTGTGACTCTCTTCTGTGTATCCAAAACGCTCCAGTATCCCGCTCGATTTGAAAAATACAACTAGCATGTTTATCTTAAGAGATCGGGATTTTTGACAGCTACGGATGCGTGCTCATCATCAAAGACCCAAACTTTTTTTGAGCCTTGGTTGGCACATCGTAATAATAGAGCCAAGTCTCGTCACCTGTCACGATGCTATTCACATACCGAGATTGCCCCTTATATGTTCAGCATCTTTCGGCACCCAGTCGTACGACGAGTCTTCTGCTCTTCCGTCAGACTATGCGGTACCCAGAGAGAGCAAAGTTCCCTTACGTGTAAATGGTCATGCAGAATTGAATGAATTGCTGATGCATGAAGGTGTAAGGTCTCCTCTATCTGTTGGTATGTCACTCCCCGGTCTTCGTCAAGCATTTTTCTCCCAGCAGTAATGGTTTCCTCTGTTACAGACATTCGCAGCCTTCCTTCCCTCTCAGCATCCGGTACCCAGAGAGAGCAAAGTTTCTTTACGTGTAAATGGTCATGCAGGGTTAAATTGCCTCTTTGGAATCCTCTGTACCACCTGAATATAGTCGTACGACGAGGACAATCATTCTTTAATGCAAGTGTCATTTCTTCTAAGCTCTGGTCTATGCTTAACCTTCGCGTAAAGTTTCACCGTAAAACTGCCCTTTTCTCATTACGTGACCAGGATACCAAAATCCGCACTTTACACTGTCAATACGAATGAACAACTAAATCAACAGACTTGCTGCTGGCAGCTACTATGCACTCATGGACATCTCTCAACATGCAGCCTCCTGCATCCGTTTGTTAAGTCATATTGCAAAACTTTTATGGCACCCTTTGTATTTGTTACGAAACGTGATATTTAGATGTACAGGGTCCGTCAGAAAGAACGCAAGTTTTTTAAATGTCGATATAAGTATGGGAAAAATACTGTATTATATCAAGATACTCAGAAATACATGCCATTTTTTTGAGTAAAACAATTTAAGTTCTAAAAACTATGTCGGCCATATGGCGCCCTTGAGCCGAAATGCAGGAATCAAGCCTCTGCCGAAATGAGAACATTGCGTCGGCCAGCATCCGTGCAGGAATTTGGGTTACTTCTCTTCTTATTCCCTCCTTCAAAGTGACGAGGGTACGAGGCTTGCTTTGGTAAACTTTTGATTTCAGGTAGCCCCATAAAAAAAATCACACGTTGACAGGTCCGGGGAGCGAGGGGGCCATGGAATATCGCCATGACGTGAAATGAGACGTCCTGGGAATTTTTGCCGAAGAAGTTGCATCGAAGTGCGAGCTGTGTGAGATGTTGCCCCGTCTTGTTGGTACCACACTGTTCTGAGACGGACACGTCGACGTCGAAGTTCCGGAAAAAAAAGCTGTTCAGCATGTGGATGTAACGCTCTGAATTCACAGTAACTGTTTCTCCATCATCCTCAAAAAAAATAAGGGCCAATAATCTTCGTTGGGCCTACTGCACACCAAACTGTAACTTTCGGGGTATGCAGGGGGTGCTCATGCATCTGTTGAGGGTTCACTGGAGACCAATATCGACAATTTTGTTTATTGACGTATCCATGTAAATGAAAATGTGCTTCATCACTCATAAACAACGTCATGTCATTGTTATCCAACTGTTCAATCATGAACTGTGCAAAATTAACACATTGTGCATAATCCCCTGGCAACAGTTGATCACAAACTTGGATTTTGTAAGGACGCAACACTAAATCCTTCTTCAAGATGCGACGTACAGAGGACGCGTGAATCACTAGGGAACTGGCACGCAAACGGACGGGACGATTCGGGCGTTGCAGCGTGTCAACTCTCACTCTGACTACGTTTTCGGCGGTTCTAACAGTACGGTTTCGCACTGGCGATGGTTTTTTCTTCATCACAGTACCTGTTGTGTTGAATGCTTCCACCCATCTCAAAATGGTGTTATGGTCGGGCACTGTCCGACGACGTGGAACACGAGAGTGAATGCGAAACTCACGTTGCGTTCGAACGACAGACTCGCCATTTTGAAAGTACCGACGTACAGCAAACACAGGATGCTCAACGTTCCAAACTATCTTGCCAACTGAAACGCACTTCTCCCTCTAACCAACACGCCCTTCCCACCGACACGGGACCAGCTCACTCGATGTACTACCCATTCGAAAAACATGCGTTCTTTCTGTCGGACCCTGTATAATAACTTTGAAAGTTGGGTATATATCATATTGCAAACCAAATTCACAACAAAGAAGGATATAAATGAATGGAAAAAGCCTGACTTGTGCATTCTATTTTCAACTAACCTAAATTCTGCATGGACGTCCATATCACTATTCTTTCCAGCTATTTCGAAAGCAACACAAGGACCATCGACAAAACTGCAAAGCATAGCATGGTAATCTGTGACAACACCCTTGTAAACTTCCAAGAATTCATCCGCATTTGCGTTACTGAGGTAGAACATCTGTGCTGCAGTTATCTGTAATGATATTTTTCAATCACGTAACTGACATAAGACATTTAAAGGCGCATACAGACATCGCGAGGCATGCGCCGCGAATGTTTCGTCTCGCATGCCTCAACCTGAGGTGCGAGGTACAGATTGCAGATTGTTGTGATATTTGACGCCACGCGCCTACCCTTTTACATTTATTGTAATAATCATAATGTTTAGAGTCCCATAACACTGTTATTTTCATAAAATGGGATAAGTTCACGCAGTGATTCAGTATCGGTCTCCATGACGCATGTGTGCGCCGCAGCCGTCCGTCCACACGGAGTGTAAGGCTCGCACTGAGGCGGCGTTTGCAACTTGCAACGATCGTATGCGCCAATGCTCACTGTGAGCATATACGTCCACACAGCCCGAGGCATGCGAGAGGAACCATTCGCGACGCACGCCTCGCGATGTCTGTATGCGCCGTAATGACGGTTCTGTAAAATGTTTAAGCCGCATACAGACATCGCGAGGCGTGCTTCGCGAATGGTTCGTCTCACATGCCTCAACCTGAGGCATACGACGATACATTTATGCATGCATCCCGAATGGCACATGCTCAAGCTGAGTACGCAAACAACCACGCACGGTATTCGTCAGTAAGACAAACGGCTCCGGCAAGGCGAGAGGTGCAGATTGTTGTGATATTTGACGTCACGCGTCTTCACTTTTACATCTATTGTAATAATCAGATTGTTTAGAGTTCCATAACACTCTGCTTTTTGATAAAGTTGGACGCAAATAACACCCGTCCGTCCACACGGAGTGCAAGGCTCGCACTGAGGCGGCGTTCGCAACAATCGCAACACGCGAATGCTCACTGTCAGCAAACACATCCACTCAGCCCAAGGCATTCGGGACGCACGCCTCGCAATGTCTATATGCGCCTCCATGCACCTGCATCGAACGAATCAAAACAGGGAATATGTATGTTTGTTTTTTCATTTTCTGTCCATTATTTACATTAATATATACACATACTTCATCTAAGGTGATGTCTACATTTTTTTAATCAAGTATTTAAAACTGCAATGACGTTGATTTAAACTCTGCATTTTTCATCATAACTCGTGATTTGTCATTTGATTGTATTTTTGTTTATTTTGATATCATGATCTGTCAGGTTTCGAATGGTTCTATCTTATATCCTGTAGTTTAAATTCAAAAAAACCGAAGATGAAGACCGGCAACCTTATTATAAGTACAGTAGTGAATTCATGTGCAACAATACGATACGTAAAGCACCGGATAAAGTATTTTTTTACATTTCCCGAGTAATCATATTAGCAAATTTCTCCGAATAATTGTAAAGTCTGGTTTTATTGAAGCAAGTTGTTCAAGGGGGTATTTTAAGCATGAACGCATAAAATGGGTACCCAATTTTTGTGGGAAAACTTTTTATTCGACAACAAAGAATGATATACCGGGGTTTTTTTGGATTCAATCAAAAGTGTTGGCAGAAACGAAAAAGCTCTTCAAATAAGATTTTAAGGTATTTACGAGACCACACCTAAGAAGATCCGACTAATTCTAAAAATAGTTATGGAAATTCTTCAAAACCTTCTAAATAATCGCAACAAAATTGGAGTCGATTGGTTGAGTAGTTTTTGAGAATTTCCAAGTGTTTATCTCAAAACCCCTGTCCTTCGGCCATCACTACTAGTTTACTGAGCAACATACAGGGTTCGTTGAAAGGGCATTTTACAGTAAAATACACGAGTTTACCTTGCCGATATGAATCACAAACCATTACGAAAGATAATTGTTATTTTGATACGAAAAACGGAGGGTTACATTTTTTTCTTCTAAATATTTCGTATTTGTGAGTAATTGAACAGATTCGCTTCAATATTCAAAAAACATACCTATAATACACATTTTAAAACAAAGCGGTAGTGTATATCACCTTGCGAAGAAAACAATCTTTTTTTCAACATTTCTTCATACTCTTGTGTATACATATTTGGAGCTGAAATATTTACACGGTAACAGATGAGCCCTGAAGTTAAAAAAATATATTTCATACTGAAATGCGCTGAACTGCTTATAGAGTTAGCACGCAAACTGTCTTGTCAACTAAGTAGGTCACGTAATCCACTTTCTTTACGAATAAATATAATTCCCTGTACCTTTTTTCTAATAGAATTAACACAGTATACGTCAGTTCTCAAAATCTCGTACGATTAAGGCGACTGCGAGTTCAAAATGTTGGAAAATAAACTCAAGAAAACGAAAAAACAGTAGACAAGTATCAACCAATTGTAGCGAACTGACCGTCTGAAAAATTAGGCAAACTGCTCGGTATTAGTCCCTAATACATTATATGAAGCTTTAGCATTGCCCCTTATATAGTTTTTAAGAGTATTCTAATTGTTTATAACAGATTTGATACTATTCGTCATTATTCGTCAGAGCGGTCTTGTGGACCTTTGCTCTTAGTTAAAAGTCTGGTCGGTCTGTTAGTCTGTCAGGTCTGGCTACCCAGATACCAAACATGTTTAAGGGGAAAAAGGAAAGAAGGAAAGCAGGGAAGGAAGAAATAGAGCAAAGACAAGAAGTAAATCATTTGAAATAGCGTAAGCATTATTGCTTTGACTACTCGAATTATTTTGTAACCCCAAAAAATAATTTTGATCGGTTTTGTACACTGAAATAATTTTGGCTGGTCTGAATTTACAATTTAATTTTGATCACAGTGCGAGGAGCGGCCTGGAATGTTTGCGAACTTGCTCGACTGTGTAGTCTACCGAATCACGCAATAGAGGGTTGCTGTGCGATTCCGCTTGATTATAACGCCTCTGCGCCTGTTGTTTTACGTAATCCCTTAGATATGGGATATTAAGATCTCTGTGAATAGTCTTATTTGACACGCACCAAGGGGCGTTAGTAATTGTGCGTAGGGTTCTGTTGTGCAGGACTTGCAGTCTCTGCATGTGCGTATTGGCAAGAAAACACCAAGCCGCCCATGTGTAGGTGATTGCGGGTCTTATGACCATTTTATACAACCGAATCTTGTTGATCAAACTTAATTTTGAATTTCTGCACAACACAGGATAAAGCTGCCCAAAGGTAATTTGGAATTTTGTTTTCAAAATATCAGTATGTTTCTGCCAGGTCAACCCCTTGTCAATGATGACTCCGAGTTTATTTTCCAACATTTTAAACTCGCAGTCGTTTTAATCGGATGAAATTTCGAAAACAGACGTATTTTGTAGTAATGCTTTTAGAAAAAAGGTCCAGGGAATTCTATTTCTTGGTAAAGAAACTGGATTATATGACCTACTTATTTGACAAATTCTTGCAGTCATCAATAATGCAGCGATTTAGCACATGCTAACTAGTCTTAGACAGTTTGAAACATAATTGTGTCTTCAGTCTGCGTGCTAACTTTATGAATAGTTCAGCGCATTTCTGGGACGGTGTACAAATTTCAGCTCTAATTACGAGTATGTATACACAATAGTATGAAGAAAGCTTGGAAAAAATTGTTTTCTAAGCAAAAAAAGGTGACAGACACATCTAATTTGTTTTAAAATGTGTGTAATAACGTATGTTTTTCGAATATGGAAGTGAATCTATTCAATTACTCACAAATACGAAATGTTTGAATTTGTTTTTCGCATAAAAATAACAATTATTTTTCGGAATCGTTAGTGATCCCATGTCGGCAAGGTGAACTCGTGTATTTGCTGTAAAATGCCCTCTGAACGAACACTGAATTTTGCATAGTAAACTAGTAGTGATGGCCGAAAAATAGGTGTTTTTGGATAAACAATTAGAAATTCTCAAAAACTTCTGGACCAATCGACTCTAACCTTGTTGTGGTTATTTAGAAGTATGAAACTTACGGATTTGGAGAATTTCAACAAGTTCCAAGACCTTCATTTTCCTCGGTTTTCGGCCATAACTTTTTTACTATTAGTAGGATCTTTTTACGTGTGGTCTCATTCTGTAGGTCTCATAAATACCTAAAAATCTTATTTGAATAGTTTTTTGGTTCCTCAGTGTTGTCAACACCTTCGATTGAACGCCAAAAAACATGTTTTCTCATTCTTTGTTGTCGAATAAAAAGTTTTCCTATCAAAATTGGTGCACCCATTTTATGCGAGCATATTTTAAATACCCCCTTGAATAACTTGCATCAATGAAAAGAGATATCTTCAAAAAGTAATTCATACTATTGCGAAGTTCATTTTAACGTAAGTACCGAACGCAGAACTACCGTTTTGCTCAAATACGATCAGTTTTTATTTACCTTAAGTCACAAAGATTATCTAGCCTTTTTTTACTTGCCATTTAAAGATAATAATTCTATAACACTATGAACCAATTTCTGTCATTGTTGATTGCACTTAGGAAGGCTATATCTCAAGAGTTAAGCCTGTCTGTGATCAAAGTACACGAGGAGTTGTAAATACAGCCCGATGAATAATTGTGTTTTTTGAAATGTTCAAACAACAAACCGACAGATTAACAATCAAATACAGTCAGAGGAAAGGCATGCCATTTCAAATCGGACTGACATATTAACAAAGGGTTGGCTGGTCACAAATTGCAAAATGATGACGTTACGCTAATACCGTTGCGTTTCGATATTTGAAGTTTATCGCGTGTTTTTTCCATTTTTTATTATTACTGATTTTTGAGCGCTCAAGTATAAAATAAGGTTGGAGGAGGCCTTCTGTAGCCATACAGCTTGTGAATAAAAATAACCGATATTTGAATCACATGCATATTCCCGTTATGGTTTGATTACAAAATTATTTCACGTTATTCGATTTTGATATCAAAAATAGAAATACTGACAAAATTCATTGTGTCACATGCAAATAGCTTACCTTAAAAGCAGAGGAAGTAATAACAGATATGATATCGCCTAAGTTTCCTTCAGCAATAGCGTGAGGCTTAATAACACAACATGTAGTATTATTCAGTTGGACAGTACTTCCGGAGACACTTTTGTTACCTTCAGGGAATAAAAATCGTGCTTCTCTAAAACCAAGATAGGATAAGCAGCATTTCTAACATTTATGCTGAAGTCGCACAAAGAATCAAATACTAAGATGCAGCTCAAAGATTTTGAACTTTAACGGACAGTAATAGTGATAGGCTTAGCAGAAGTAAACAGGGTCAAGAGATTCCAATATACGGTGTTTGCGAAAGGGAAATCTCGAAACTGGAGATAATACAGATCAAAATATGTGAATTGACCTAAACATATCTTAGTCCAAAAGTTGATAATTTGCGAGATACAGGGTGTAAAAGTTACAACTTTATTTTCTATTTTTCGCTTGAGAAGTATTTCAGATTTTGTAATAGGGAGATTTTCTAGTATGAGAAACAAGAATCCGTTATTTTTTATGACCAAACTTCTTGAGGGCGCCACTTACAGCACTATAAATAACTTATCATAACTTTTTTGTATACAACAACTGACCCAAAAATCTTATTTTCTCGTATTTCCACAACAAAAAAGGTTTACTTGTTAGAAGTGTCTAAAGCTTTCGAGATATTTGTTTTTAAAAGTTCCAAAGAATTTGAATGTTATTTTTCATTTCCTGGCTATGGTGGAAAATTCTTTATCGAGGATTATCTACAGTTTCCACTGGCGTATTGTAAACGAGTCGTTTTAAATCACCCCAGAAGAAGAAATCCATAGGATTTAAATCTGGTGATCTAGCCGGCCACGATACAGGCCCTAATCGGCCTATTCACTGGTCTGGATAAACTCTATGTAGGTGATCTCTAACTAATATGCTAAAATGAGGTGGAGCGCCGTCGTGTATAAACCACATATTCATGCGTGTTTGTAATGGAAGATCTTCCATCAGAGTGGATAATTCTTCTTCGAGAAATTGTAAATACCGTTGGCCATTTAGTCTAGGCGGTAACTCAACTGGTCCTATTAAATATTTTCCAATTATTCCTGCCCATAAATTAATTTAAATTGTACTTGGTGGCGGGTTTATATTATTGCTTGAGGATTTTCGTCTGCATAAATGTGAAGATTATGCGACTTAATGGGCCCATCCTTTCCAAATCCTAAATGATATTAACGAAGTAAAACCATTGTCGTGGTTAAACTTCCTTAACAGCCATGTACAAAATTCTACCTTTGCGGGTTCATCATCCGCGCTTAGACCATGTACTTTTTGCAGGTGGTATGGATGGAGCAGTTGCTCTTGAAAAATGGTATTTACTGTACATTTGGAAATTTGAAATGCTCAAGCTACATTACTAACCCCAACTGTAGGATTTTCAAAGACAGCATCTGAAACATTTTCTTCAGCTTCAGCTGTACGTACAGTTATGGGATCGCCACTGTCGGCCCATATTTTGAGCAAAACTACCTAAAATCCAAATGGTTTTTACTACTCAAAATAAGGCTATAATCATTTATTACCAGTTTCTCGTAACCGCCGACCGATTCGTAGGAAAGTCTTTGAATTAGGCAGGCGTCTATTAGGGAATCTGTCAGCGTACAGTCTTCGTGCTTTTAAAGCATTACATCTTGCCAATCCGTACATTGAATGTATATCAGAATATTCATCAAACGTATATTCCATGATGTTTAGCAACTTATTGTCAACTTAAAATTATTGTTGAAGTTTAAAGCAATATTATGACAAATGTGTTTTATCATCATGGTACAAATAATGCATTGGAACTTTTAAAAACAAATATCACGAAAACTATTAGCTATAGACACTTCTAACCAGTAAGCATTTTTGTTGTGGAAATACGAGAATATAAGATTTTTCGGTCAGTTGCTGTATACAGGGTAGCACAAAAAAGTTATGATAAGTTATTTACAGAAGTAGCGCTGTAAGTGGCGCTCTCTAGAAGTTTGGCCATAAAAAATAACGTACTTGTTTCTCATATTAGGAAACCTCCCTATACCGAGTTTTATGCCAAAATCTGAAATACTCCTCAAGCAATAATCAAAAATAGAAAATAAAATTGTAACTTTGTATCTCGCAAACCATCAACTTTTGGACTAAGGTATGTTTAGGTCAATTCACATATTTTGGTCTGTAGTATCTCCAGTTTCGAGATTTCCTAACCTTTCGTACAATATATTTCTAACCTTGATAGCCGTTGGCCAAGCTGCAGTAAGAACTGCGACGTACACTTACTAGAGCAGGTATATACAGGGTAGACCCATCCATGTGTGGACAAAATATTACTCATAAACAAATACATTTTGGGAAACTCTATTTATGGCATGTTATACATGACATTCGAGGGCACATTTCTAAAATATTGGCTATTATACAGGGTGTCCCAATTTTGACCTATATATCAAAGTTGTGATTTTTTAAATGGTATGCCTCAAATTTTATTTCATATTTGGATAAACCAATTCAAAAGAAGAAGATTGATATAACATACTATGGGGTTTTGGTAATTAGCTACTGCGTTGCAAGGTGTTTTGTCCAGAAAAACCGTTCACCCCGGCAACCCCTCAATCCGCCACTTTGGAATTTGGAGTGCTGAATTTTGTATCAAAAAAACTTACACACCTCAGCTTTCATCTTATTTGTACTTTCCGAATTTTAATTTTAGCTCAAAAACGCAAATTGTAGTTTTTCTCAAGTTTGGATTCAATTTTTTATAAGCTTTTTTTTGATACTAGATACAACGGTTTCTACGGCTATTTTTTCGGTTATTAGCACCTCTTTTATGGAACGGCTTAATTCCCTAAAGTATCGCATCATCCTTGGAAACAAATAAATTTTTGATTAGTTACAAAATGTCAAAATTAGCTTTGTGAGCATTCTAATAAAAACATGTTTACAAAATGAATTTTTCTGAAGAAGAAATGGTGAATATGGTGTTCGTTTTAGGCGAAGCCCAAAGAAATAGTTTCCTAGCATCTCGCATTTATAAGCAACGGCACCCTGATATGCGACATCCAAGGCGAGAAAGATTTTCCACACTACGAGAACGTGTTGAATCAAGTCGAGCAGTGGAATAAAGTAAAAAAATTATAAATAATGAAGAGCCACCAATGAGGCAAATCGGTTGGAGATTCTATTAAAGTTGCAGGAAAATCCCTATTTAAGTGCACGGCAAATTGAAGCATAAACTGGTATATGCAGAACTTCTGTCCAAAGGATTATTCACAAGCATAGGTGCCATCCATACCACCTATGCTTGCATCAAGGCCTCCGTCCTTCCGATTTCGCAGCTCCAATGGAGTTTAGTAGAATGATGCTAAATAAAGTGAGTGAAGACACTACTTTCCTGGATAAGTTTTTTTTTGGCGATGAGGCAACTTTTACAGCATAGGTGTTGTCGACAGGCAAAACATGCACTATTATGTGACGGAAAGCCCTTACTGAGTTAGGCAAATAGTTTTCCAAAATAAAAGGAGCTTGAACGTTTGGGTAGGAGTTATTGGCAGACAAGTTATCGGGCCTTCAATTTTCGAAAACAGATTAAACAGGTACAGAATTCTTGAATTTTGCATTTGCCTTTGATTTTGGAGGATGTCAACCTGCAAACTCGGATGCATATGTACTTCCAGCATGACGGCGCACCTGCGCATTATCATAATCGTGTGCGTAACTATTTGGATACCTGGAGTAACAATCGTAGGATCAGTCGTGATGGGCCGATATCTTGACCTCCTAGATCACCAGATATGACACCAATGGACTTATCCAAAGACTACGGCTGTGTATTCAACATGGTGGAGATATTTTCGAGCAGTTTTTGTAGATTAGGTTTTGAGTAGTGATAGTTGTTTATGTTGTTGTTATAGTTGTTTTTCTCTATTACGCTTGAAGCTGATTTATACTGTTCTGATTGTTATCAGTTTTTATGTCAAATCTGTACTCTTAGTGGCAATATGAAACTATCCCACTGTTTGTCTTTTGTTTCCATGGATGATGTGATTTTTCCCTTAATTTTCGTGTGTTGTTCTATTAAAAGCTTAATAACTCAAAATCTAGTGATTTTATCTGAATCAAACCTTAGGTATATCAAGAAAAAAGATTATAAAAAATTGAATCCAAACTTGCATAAATATATATAGGATGATGCTTTTGAGAAAAAGTACAATTCGCGTTTTTGACCACCCTGATTGAACAAAAATGAAAATTCGAACAAGTAACAAATAAGATAAAAGCTGAGGTGTTTAAGTTTTTTTTTTTGATACAAAACTCAGGACTCCAAATTTCAAAACGGCGGTTTGAGGGGTTACCGAAGTCGACGGTTTTTCTGGACAAAACACCTTACATGTCAGTAGCCCCATAGTCAGTTATATCAATCTTCTTCTTTTGAACTGGTTTATCCAAATATGCACTAAAATTTGAGGCATTCCGTTTAAAAAATCACACCGATGATATGTAGGTAACCATTGGGACACCCTGTATAATTGCAAATATTTTAGAAATGCGCCCTCAAGAGTTATGTAGAGCATGCCATAAATAGATTTTTCCAAAAATGTAATGTTTATGAGTAATATTCCGTCCACACATGGATGGGCCACCCTTTATAGTCGTTCAGTTCAAACATCTATGGATTCTGAGCTATAGACAGAGTGAATACAGTGGACTCAGAGAATTGAGTGTGTACACAGTGGCATCAGTGCTTATGTTACGTATTTGTTCAGATTTTATTGTGTTCCAATATACGAATATACCTGTACTCAGTGACATTAAAAGTGTTACATCCAGAAAAAATAATTTTAACTTGGCGCGATAATGACTATATTTACGGCATTGCGGTGGCAACAATGTTAACGTTTTATCTTTGTTTCTGTTTACCTTTACCAAAATGCTATCTTCTAGTTTTTGAGAAGAAAGCAGTTTCTGATAGCTGAGTAGTACAGATATTTTTATTATTGGCCTTTCATTTACTAGTGTTAAGCATAACAAAATGCTTCGAGTTCGAAGACGTCCAAATTATCACCATGTTAGTGACTTTGACAGGGCTAGAATTATTGTATATAGAGATGTTGGTTTGTCCTGTCGTGAAATTGACAGCCGTGTTAATTGTACTGCAATGACGGTAATGTGTGTGTGTCGTGTGTGGATAGAAGAAGGTATAGGAACACGAAGAAAGCCAACAGGTCCACCGGGGCGTACCACAGACGTCAAGATAGGCGCTTCAGACAACTAGCCTTACGAGATCGTTTTGCTGCTACACGTCAGATCGCTGACCTATGGTTTGGAGAAGAAGGTAGACCTGATACTATGCGTACACTCTATCGCCGCATTCGAGCCTTTGGACTTTTTTCATACCATCCACGGTTAGTGCTTCCTCTGACTGCGGAAAACTGTCATCAACGTTTGAACTGGAGCAGAGAACGGCAACATTTGGAGATAGAATGATATAATGTCATTTTCAGTGGCGAATCGCGATTCTGTCTAGGTACGCACGATGGTCGTAGAAGGGTAAGACGCCGCCTTGGAAAACGGCGTGATATTGGATTTGCTGTTGAGAGGTATATACACAGTACTGTTGGAGTAATGGTTTGTGGGGCTATTGCCTATGCTGGCCGATCACCCCTTCTCTTTGTTCAAGGCTGCACGTTATGTTGATGATGTCCTACAAACCACTTCAGCAAGATATCACACGTTCCTTGATCCTCGTACTGCGGACTTTCTTCAAGAAGCAGGTATTAGTATTTTTCCGTGGCCACCCGATTTAAATCCAATCCAACATGTATGGGATATGATAGGGAGCAGACTATCCACTTTACACCATCCACCACAGACTCTGCCGAAGTTTAAGTTGCTTGGAATGAGGTGCCACAACCAGACATCGATCATCTCATTTTCTCGATGCCTAGATGTATACAGGAGTGTATTCAGCTGCGGGTTCTTCCAATATATTATTAATTTGTTTCTTATTACTTGCCAATAAAATTTAGTGAGAATGTTATCATTTCATTCTTAATATAAGACTACCTCATTGCCAAAAAATCAAGTTGAAGAAATTATTTTTTCTAGGTGTAACACTTCTAATGTTACTGAGTATACATTTTCGTTTGCGTGTTATTCCTCTCATGCTACAAGAAGATACATATAATTTTTTGGCTAATTTTAGATTGAAAACCCGTTATTTGGAATTATTTCTTCCTCATGATACTTTAGAAACGTCCCTGGACTTGCTGGCATGGCGCACGGACTTTGCAAGCTTTTAAGCTTCAAGTGACTGACAAATGAGTAGAACGAACTTCTAGTGGAGAGCATTCGGTTTATACTGCAGAATTTGGAGAATGTGCATTTAACAATTCTATTCAATAAAGATTTTCAAGGAAATGAGATCAAATACTATTTACTAAAAGGTCTATACGTTATTTTTGTCCAAGTTTTTACATATAGACTTTTGGACTTTAAAACCGCTCCCTTGAGGCCCCGTTTTAATACATTTGCTGTTTGTGCTTGACCCCAGCACTTTGCGCGGTAGAAATGCAGCTTTAGATTAGTGACCCGCGGCTGGATAGAAAAAATAGTTTCAGAATTTTACCTGTCAACTTCGTCAGCATTATTTGATCCATGAAAGCCACTAGTGGCGACACTGTCTCTACCGTAAATGGCCCTCAAACATTGAGGATCTGTCTTTCTGGCTGCTATGGGGTTACATGGACCCATAAGATCTATCCATCTTTTGATTGCGTCTTCACCTACTAACTCCATGGCGACGACAGGACCGCTTGTCATGTGTTCTAATAGAAATGGCAAGGTGCTGTCGTCACGGTGATCGTCGTAGAAATCCAGGGCTAAAAGTGGTTTTGAAATTGATTTCTCGTGTTTACAGTAGGCTTCATTTCATTTAGCATTAAGGATTTCACTGAACTGCCAAAAACTCAGCTGTTCTCTGGCGTCAAGTAGATTGACTCTATACTTTACATGTATGAAATATGCCTAATAGATGCGTAGAATTATCAGGGTTGAAAGTTTATAAATTTATGGGATTTACATATCACAAAACTGTAAATGGGATACACACATAGAAAAAGTTGGTCAAAAAGATGCCCCGCTCTGCTATTGCAAGTACCAGCCGAGTTTTATCGTTGTATATTGCTAATGTTAATGGTAATGTTAATTTCTATGCACATATCCAGTCTATTCCGGGTTATGGAACAGAAGCACGAAAAGCATCCTCCAAGTTACAAAGGACTTTTATAATACAAAAAAGAGTTATTAGAACTATTGCAAAGGTAGAAAGGTGCTTTAGTTGCAGGACATTATTCACAACTTGGAAGATATTAACGCTGCCTTCAGTATACATATTAAATGTATATTTACTGCATGAAGCTTTCCACTCTCTAGAATAATTTTTAATGTGAGATTGTCTGATTAATTATTTTAATCTTTTATTTCATTTCAAATTGTTAATTTATTGTCATTTTAATTCTTTTTCAAGTTTATACACATCGTGTTATTTTGATATTTGAATATTATTTAAAGGGTGATCGATCTGTTGGTTAATTTTTGAACCAGGGATTACCTCACGGTTGGCAACACTTTCATAAGTTCTGTTTTAACAGAAACTTATTAAAAAGTCTGCGGTGAACGAATATGGATCGATATACGCTTGAAAAACGTTGGGAAGCGCTCAAAATTGAACGCTTGGATGAGGACCCCCATTTTTACCGAAAAATCATTTTTTCGGATCAGGCTCATTTTCATCTTGGTGGCTACGTCAATAAGCAAAATTGCCATATTTGGTGCTCAGAATAGCCAAATGAAATTAGCTAAAAGCTAATTCATCCGCCAAGCGTGGATTTTTGTTGTGGTTTGTGGTCTGGTGGCATTATTGGTTCTTTTTTGATGAAACCGACACAAAGACTTGAATGGCGTGTAGTTCCAGCAAGACGGCGCGAAACAATCGCTCTTCTTCAAGAACAGTTCGAAAATCGCCCTTTTGGTGATGTGACTTGGCCACCGTGAAGCTGCGACTCAACTCGGTTGAATTACTTTTTGTGGGGAAGCGTAAAAGATAAATCTTATGCGGATGCCCCAGCGACTATTAAGCACTTGAAGACCAACATTTATGCAGCCATTGGTAAGATAATGCCGCAGACTTTGGAAAATGTACTGAAAAATTGATTTGACAGAATCGGCTACGTCAAGCTCAGCCGTGGCGCGAATATGAATGAGATTTATTTCATCATGAACCGGAAGGATAGTACTCTCAAATAAAAAACCCGTTTGGAAAAAGAACTCTGCGTTTTCATTTTAACCATCGATTTAAAAATTGACCAACAGACCCTTTATGTATATACAGGGTTATCCAAATTAAGTGTCCACCATTAGTAACTTTGTTATTAGTGAAAATACAAAGTTGTTTGAATTAGCAAACTAGTAGCATTTTTTTAAATGGAAACCCCTGTATATTATATTTTTTTCTGTTAAAGCATCAAATTTTAAACAAAAAAGTTCATAATGACTTTTCCGCTAAAGTCAAAAATAAAGTCAAAATAACGATAAATATTTTTAATTATTTGCAGTATTATAATATTAAGACGGCTATGAAAACAACATGGCGTTCGCGATTTGACAGCATTAAGATAAGCGACAAATTGTTAAACTGGACATACTCGCAACTAGAAGGCTTTGGAAAACAATGATAAAATCAAATAATGTCAAACATTAGTGTAAATACTTGTTTATAAGCTTTATTGTGTCATTAATTTAAAGAAAAATGTTCTCCCATGAAGAAAAGTGTGATATGTTAGAATGCTATTTAGTGTGCAGAAAATCCTCCTTGAGAGCAAGAGAATACTACAGTGAATTATATCCCGCTCGCATTCAACCGTATGAACGATATTTTCTGAGACTTTATCGAAAATTTAGGGGCAACGAAAATGTTTTTGCTAAAACAAGGGCAAAAAAAGAATTCATAATAAGCGAGGCCACGGAAATTGCAGTTATTGGATATTTTGAAGCTTATCGTGAGAATTCAATAGCAGATATTCTCAAGGACTCTAATTTCAGTTATGGTACTGTTCAAAGGATTTTAAAAAAATACAAATTTATTCCGTATAAGTACCGACCAGTTCAAACGCTTTTGGCAGGGGATCCAGAGAGAAGACTTGTTTTTTGCCATTGGTATCTTAGCTTCTGTCGCCAAAATGTAAATAACTTTCGTTACCTTTTATGGACAGATGAATCAAATTTTTCAAATTCTGGAATGTTTAATAGAAAAAACCACCATTATTGGTCAAGAGAAAATCTTTTGTTAGTACATCCAAGAGGCCCACAAGTCCGTTTCAGTTTCAACGTTTGGTGCGGTATAATTGGTTCAAAAATTGTTGGCCCGTTCTTTTATGAGGGAACCCTAACTGGTGAAAGATATGTGGAATTTATGTCAGAAATTCTGACTAATTTCTTAGACGAATTGGATCTTATAAGTAGACATCATCTGCATTTTCAGCAAGATGGCGCACCTGCCCACAACTCCAGAGGTACTTATCATTTTCTAAGTACTACTTTTAATGATTAGTGGATAGGAACAAATGGCCCAATACAGTGGCCTCCCAGATCACCAGATCTAAACCCACTTGATTACTTCTTGTGGGGTTACTTAAAGAACCAAATTTACAAGCGAAGGTACGATAACCTTGACGCGTTAAAGACTGCAGTTAGGGAAAAGATAACCCAGATAGATGGTAGGACCATACTTAAGACAGTTCGAGCAGTTGAAAAACGTGCCCAAAAATGTATTGAAGAACAAGGTGGTGTTTTCGAGCATCTTCTTTAAAAAAAATTGTTATTGTATTTTGTAAGATTATAAGTTGGTGTTGAAAATAAAGTTTGTCGATACAATTTGTTTCAGATTGGAGGCCATAACTTCAACAATTTGTAACCTAGGAGAAAAGTTATTGTAAGCTTTTTTGTTTAAAATTTGATGCTTTAACAGAAAAAAATATAATATACAGGGGTTTCCATTTAAAAAAATGTTATTTTACTGAAAAAAATCAAAATAACGACTCTCAATTGTTTTTTTTTATTTCTCATTTTTACCAGCGTTAAAAATGCTACTAGTTTGCTAATTCAAACAACTTTGTATTTTCACTAATAACAAAGTTACTAATGGTGGACACTTAATTTGGATAACCCTGTATATATATACATATACAATTCATATATCATATAAATATTGTGACCCTATTCTATATCACGTTATGATCTACATGATAAGTAAATTATTATTATTATTAATATATTAACAAAAAAATTACGATTTAAGGTCCCTAACCCCCAATTTTTACCCCTAAAACATTTTTCAAGAATGATCAGGATCCTTTGAAACGTCATGAAACAAAGTTTCATCGATTTTAATTTTTTTATGTTTTGAAATTATTCTCCGCCGCCACTAGACCGACTTTCAAAAACTACGGAGCTTTTTTGTCGTTGGCATAATAGTAACCTTTTGTAAAAATTTTATACAAATCCAAGCAATGTTTTCCAAGTTATACACCGGCCAAGGATAAGCGGACTGATCGACAGACAGACCGATGGAAATAAGTAACATGATTATTCGTGATGGACATGTCATATAACGTCCAAAAAACATATCTCACTTCCAAAAATTTTTGCGATCATAATACTTCCTCGCCAGTAGGGGTGGAAAGTAAAATGGTTCACTCGTACCTCCTTTTATTGTCTCCGCAATAACTAACTTACACTCGTATGCAGTGTCTGGAGGGATCTTTCAAATTCAGTCAGTCGTCCATCAAATTTCAACAGACAATCGCATTCCACTCTATTCACAGCGTCTTTCATCACTAGATAATTTGGAAGCTCGATCCCAAACCATTGTCAGACATCGAAATGACGAGCATTTGAAGTTAGATGCTATACACCTTGTTCTATTCCGCATCATGTCTTTTTGTCTTTACCACTTTAGATTGGGAAATATTTTCGTGGAATTCACTATGCGAAAAACATCCTACGAATGGTTTTAAACCTTTTTTGCTTGATGCAAAAGCCTACGAAAATATACAGGGTTGTTTCCTGATTGAATCTCAATATTTAGGTGGCCGATTTTTGAGTGCATTGTAAGAAGAAAACTTCATATGAGCATATGTCCTAAACGTCTTAACTTCTGAGATACAGAGTAGCCAAGTTATCAATATAGAAAGTCATCATGGCATAGCATCTGCTATTATTCAAATAAAAAAATGCAATCGGTATTCATTTATGAGCAGATTTGATCTTTTGATTTTTTTTGTCCGACGCACGGTTTTCACCTTAAAAAATAAAAACGATTTCATGGTGATATTGCCATATTAACGATCATGCATCGGACTGAAAAATCAAGCAATTAAATTTGCTTAGAAATTGAACTGATTTATTCACTCACACATTAAAATTGATGGTGAATAAATTAACATTCACAAAAGGACGATATCCTTGTGCGTGGATTTTACGTAACAATATATGTACATACTTTTTTAATTGAAATACATAATTTAGAGTGCAAAAGTTACTATCCTTTTAAGGTGTATTTAAACTTATTTGATGATTTCTGTTTCTAGTATTGTACTGATAGTTTTTGTTTGATATGTTATTTTTATTTTAATTCAAGATTATACTTCTGAGAGATAATTCTTGAATATTGAGAATTTCTGTTTCTGAGTACAAAAGATAGGTTGAACATAATAGAGGTTCATTGTAAATAGTTTTCAAAATCAATTTTTGTACTTTCTCAACTGTTTCAATATGTGCTTTATTTGCAGAGCACCAAACTGTTAAAGCATATGTTAAATTGCACTTTATTAATGCACGAGTATAATATTGCCATGAGTGAGAAAGATATAGTTAACCATTTTTTTTTGTCGGAAAATGTCTAAGATAATGAACTTTATATAAAAGAAATATTAGTTTTTTAGTAATTATGGAATGTGAATATGCCAATAAAGCCGGCTATCTAGAAAGATACCTAGATACTTTATGTTCATTCTGAGAGATAACTGAATTTGGATCTTTAGCGTTGTTGAATGTTAGTGACTGGAATTTAGACAATTTATTAGTGCATAAAGTAAAGCGCACATATTGGGTTTTGTTGAAGTTGATAGTCAGAAGTTGTTCATTAAACCAATTCGATATGCATATTATATTTATGTTAGAGTCAGTTTCTACTATTATCTTTAAATTAATCCATTTGTCTTCTTCATAAACTATTGCTAAATCATTTGCATAGCTTAAAATATTACCTTTGGTGTCTAAATTGAACAAATCGTTAATACAAACGTTACATAGAGGGGGAGCAAGAATTGCCCCTTGTGGAACTTCATAGGAGACAAAACTACTAGATATTGTACGTATTTTTTGTCAGTCTTGCAAATACAAGTAGTTATTATTCTTACTTTGTTCGATTACTTATCAAGCGCGATCTAGAAAGGGAAAAGGGATTGAATATCCTAACGCCACGCTATTTTCAATCGAGATTTTTATGTTCATTTTTGGGCTCTGCTATTGACTTACAGATAGCGCTAGTGTCTCTTAGAATTTTTTTTGGATGCCGGACTACAGTACCTACTTTCAGGTAAAAAAGGGTTAATCAATACTACTATACATACTATGTATCCTTATTACACTATATTTTTTACCTTCACGTCTGTTGAGAATGCACATTCGCATCCTGTTGATATGGAATCCATGGTTTTGGATATGCTTTATAATCTCTCCTAGTTTGTCGAATACACAAGGCATCAATATGGCTAAAGTTTTTTCTTTCCTTTTACCTACTATAGATTTGGTTCTGCAATCTGCATAGTCTGATAATTTTATTCGTCTAAAAGAATTTCAAGAAACAATACTTTTCCATCATCAAACAGTTTTTAATGCAGAATGCAGCCGAAGCGACTAAGCAGTTTCAAATGGTCATAAAAAAGACATAGATATATAGAAAACATTGTTTTTAATTTAGAAATCAATAGTTTATACCATGTTATATTTATTAAGTTTTGAAAATAATTGCAGCAACTCACTGTTAGAGACGAGTCCTGAAGATCTGCACTGCACTTACACATATAGTGTGGAACAGCGTTCATTTCTTCAACATTCTGCTCTATCAGGGTGTGAGGAAGATGACTAAGCAAAAAAAGGAGTCATATATGCTCAAATCTGGTGACCAGGCAAGCCACACCAGCTGTAGCTCCATCTAACCACAACCTCCAAACTCAAATTAGAAACACTAGCCGAGGAAGAGGGATAATAGTCTAGGATCCGAACTAGAAACGACCTCCACCCATCTGTTTAATGAACGAAAAGTATTTTACATCAAATTTAGTTTGTTGCAAAATATATCGCGAGTGGGTTGGCTAAAAAATTCCTGGCGAGACTATGATTAATAAAACATTGAAAAATGACTTTTTACTAAACAAAATAATAATAATATAACGCAATGTATAGGGTTTACAATATCAACTGAAAAATGCTGAAGTATTGTGGTCCTTTTATAGATCAATACATTATCCACATTATGAATTCCTGTATAAAAAGTTCCTATGTTCCCGTAATATGGAAAACCGTTGTAGGTATACCTATTCCCAAAAAGATGATTTCTACAGTATTTTCTGAGTTGGGAATCATTAGTAAATTTGGTAATTGCATATAATGAAGGCATGTCCAGCGTTTTATTATTGTTCCACTTTTCAAAAGCATTTGATACTATTTGTGATAAACCAAAGTATTAGGGATTTAATGAATCCTCGTAATTTCTGATAGCGATCATAAAAGATACCTGTAAACGGATCCTATTCAGTACCAACTGATATCCTATCCGGCGTTCCGCAAAGCTATATTCTTTGACCACTATTTCTTATTATATATACTGCGGATATCTTGAATACTATCAAAATTGTAAAATCCAGGCATATGCTGGATGGTGATACTCAACCTTACATGAGTTTTGAAACTGCTGATGCTGTTACTGCTGAAACACGTATGAATCTGGAGTTTTATGTGACATTAACAATCAGTCATTGCACATGAACTACTACGTCTTTATTTATGGACTCTGCCTTACACAGGCAGATAAATCTCGTATTCAAAAGGTTAAAAACAGTTGTTATAGGTTTATTTATGGAATCGGGAAGTACGACCTAGTAACACATAAAATCAACGATTTCTAGAATTTAGAGTTTTTCGTACTGAGAATATATTATGTGATACATAAAAATGGCACTTGGAAAGTTACGCTATTCCAAGTATGTCTCGAGATAGACGACAGAAACGGATTTTTCCCAGATTTGAGTATCTGTGACTTATTTTTGTGGGAATATCTAAAGGAAAAGGTGCTTGGGTATCCTCCTCACATCTATTAGGTTTAAGAGAGCAGGTTGTTGAAGTGATTTACTTGATACTTGTACCACCACGTAGAACCTAGTGGGATCATATGGGCATAAAGAGGAAAGGGTGGAGGACTTCACATGCACTAACGAGGGAACACGTGTGCATGCAACATGCCTGCATTCTGATCCGCCGGGTGTTACTTCCGAGACCGTCTACCACCTACACACAATGACGGCATCCATAGCCAAGAGAAAAATCCTCTATAGGGCAGGTCACCACTATGTCCCGCGATATTTGTTAACAAACCAGTTAAGTGCTTCTGGAGTCGTTTCCAACACTGTGTTGCTGCTAGCGGTCGCCATTTTGAAGATATTATTTCTGAAAATTTATAAATGTTAAATGGTATAAACCGTTAATAACATTTCTTTCTATGGATCCAGACGACCTTTCTAATTCTTTGAAATTGCTGTAGGTATATCCACAATATTCGAACGTACATTCTAACGATTTCTGTAAAAGATGAAAATTTAAATAGTAACAAACTTGGGAAGTCTATGCAATAAAGTTCCCAAATTACTGAGAATCTTCAGTAGTAGAAGTGGTGGGGAGGCGAAGCCTGGCAACTAGACTACCTTAGACCCTTTTTGCCGACCCTGTAGTACCAACACTGTACTACTCCACGAGCCATATACTGGTAACTAATATTTAATAAACCAGCCATGAGATATAGACAACACAACATGCATGGCAAGGAATTATAATATCCGAGGCGGAGATTCGAACGAGCGAGCCCCGGGTTGCTAGCTCGTCGCTCTTACCACCGAGCTACCGAAGCTCCCTTCAAAATCTTTAACTATAATACTTTGATAAATTATAGTTTAAAAAAGCTAAAAAACTTGCTTTAATAGCAAATCGAAGTGAACAGTAGAAGTATAGGAGAGTTTGTGTTACAGCAGAAAGTCCAACAATCAAACTATAATTTATTTTCTGAATGTTCAATCTTAAAACGACAACAAAAGTAATTATAATCAAAATTCATTTTCATGTTTCATAATTGTCCTTTTTTTATTCTTCCAATTTTTTCACATTTTAAAATATCCAAACTTTTTTCAAAATTTCAAATTTTGTTCAACATTTCCAAATCTTCAAATTATCTTCCAAATTTTCAAGTTAATTAGACTTGAATCAGGTAAAAATTAGGTTGAGAGATTCCGTTAGAAACATGCAGATCAAGCTAATACGAGCGTATCAAAAAATATAAAAATACGAATTTTCAGTAGATTCTAAATGTTGGTTCAGATTTTCAATTGTATAATCGGACAATAGAAAAATATATCTATATCACAAATTATTATTATAAAGAATATACAGGGTGGCCAAACACGTGACGTCATAAAAAAAAATTAGATTCCCCACATCGAGAGGAACCCAAATCACCCCCATATATATGGTCCGATTTTGTTTAGTTTAGGAGTTATGATTTTTTTTTCGGATTTTTCGAAAATTTTTGAGTTCTGTGTTTATTTTTACCATAACTTCGTTAATAATTGTGATAAATGCCTGCTTTTTTCACGATTATGTAGCTAAGACCTAAGGCTTAACTATCATATAATCATTCAAGTCATGTAACTAATACTACTTTTTAATTTTTTTCAAAATCTTCGAACATAACAAAAAAGTAAAAAAGTGCAACAACTTTGAACGTTTATAAAAAATTGAAAAAACATGTTCTTACTATTCGTAAGTATCTTAAAAACTTCCTTACGGTATCAGCTATTTACCGTAAAAATTTCATCAACCTAGCTTTACTACATGCTACCGTAATTGTGGCTCAAATAGAACCGAACCCAAAATTGGATAACCCTCTGCTCAATAGAAATTGTTAGTTTCGGAAAAAAAATGCAAAAACCACAAAAACACGTTTGATTTTTACTGAACAGCAGATTATTATTCATTTATGTTATTTACAAGAGGTTTTCAAAATGTCTGCCTCTTACAGAAATGCACAGTGTACACCTACGTATGAAATTTTGTTTTAAATCTCTAAATGCTTGTGTGTTGTTTTTCAACACATGTGTCGCTTCTTGAATTTTGTTCCTCAATGAATTTTCATTTGCACATTCTTGGGCGAATGTTATGTCTTTAAAATATCCCCAAACAAAAAAATCAATGGGGTTGAGGTCAGGGGAGCGTGGAGGCCATCGTATCGGTCCGTTTCGTCCGATCCATCAGGCTCTGGTTAGGCCAACCAACAGAGGACACGTCATCACCACCGACCAGCCACGTCATCTACGGCACAGGACACGTCAGCCGTTCTGGTATAAATAACCCCGAAAGGCTAAGTCACCTGCAGACGAAATAAGAGGCCATATCAGCCGAAACCTCGTGCTCTAAAAAATTGGATATTCCGGGACTCTGCTTTGCATACTGATTTGGACTTTGTTTGCTAAGAAATTTGTGATGCATTATACGTTGCGTGAATATGCAGAAATGCATTATTATTATGGCGTTGCTCAAGGCAACGGCGCTTTAGCAGCTCAGCTGTACCGGGAACAACTTATACGCCGAGGCGGACCACAACCTGAGCATTACCCAGACCACCGTGTTTTTATTAACACACATAACACTTTCATGGCAGGCCGCATTCCAGGACGAGGAAGCAATGAAGGATATCCTACAGCTGATCCGGATCGCAGAGAAGTAGTACTTGAAGAAATTAGCCGGAATCCCTCAACGAATACGAGATCTATGGCACAAAACCTTAGAATACCACGAACATCGATACAAAATATTCTTCATGAAGAAGGTTATCATGCCTATCATGTTCAAAGAGTTCAAGCGTTGATGCCTTCAGATTACCAGTTAAGAGTGGATTTCTGCGAGACAATGCTGCGAAGACAACGAGAGGATCCCGATTTTTTTGATAAAATTTTATGGGCTGACGAGTCACGTTTTGAAAGAACAGGGATATTCAATATCCATAATTTACATACTTGGGCTGTTGAAAACCCCCACCAGTCAAGGCCGTCGACATTTCAACACCGTTTTAGTGTGAACATGTGGTCAGGAATATTCAATATGGAATTTATCGGTCCATTTGAACTGCCGTCAAGGTTGGATTCGGTAGCCTACAAAAGCTTCCTTGAAAATAGCCTACCATTATTGCTGGAAGATTCAAGCCTGGAAGCCAGACGGAACATGGTGTTCCAGAATGATGGTGCACCATGCCACAACGCAACGATCGTGCGAAACTACTTAAACGAAAGGTTCCCAGACAGATGGATCGGACGAAACGGACCGATATGATGGCCTCCACGCTCCCCTTCCTTGAAAATAGCCTACCATTATTGCTGGAAGATTCAAGCCTGGAAGCCAGACGGAACATGGTGTTCCAGAATGATGGTGCACCATGCCACAACGCAACGATCGTGCGAAACTACTTAAACGAAAGGTTCCCAGACAGATGGATCGGACGAAACGGACCGATATGATGGCCTCCACGCTCCCCTGACCTCAACCCCATTGATTTTTTTGTTTGGGGATATTTTAAAGACATAACATTCGCCCAAGAATGTGCAAATGAAAATTCATTGAGGAACAAAATTCAAGAAGCGACACATGTGTTGAAAAACAACACACAAGCATTTAGAGATTTAAAACAAAATTTCATACGTAGGTGTACACTGTGCATTTCTGTTAGAGGCAGACATTTTGAAAACCTCTTGTAAATAACATAAATGAATAATAATCTGCTGTTCAGTAAAAATCAAACGTGTTTTTGTGGTTTTTGCAATTTTTTTTTCCGAAACTAACAATTTCTATTGAGCAGAGGGTTATCCAATTTTGGGTTCGGTTCTATTTGAGCCACAATTACGGTAGCATGTAGTAAAGCTAGGTTGATGAAATTTTTACGGTAAATAGCTGATACCGTAAGGAAGTTTTTAAGATACTTACGAATAGTAAGAACATGTTTTTTCAATTTTTTATAAACGTTCAAAGTTGTTGCACTTTTTTACTTTTTTGTTATGTTCGAAGATTTTGAAAAAAAATAAAAAGTAGTATTAGTTACATGACTTGAATGATTATATGATAGTTAAGCCTTAGGTCTTAGCTACATAATCGTGAAAAAAGCAGGCATTTATCACAATTATTAACGTAGTTATGGTAAAAATAAACACAGAACTCAAAAATTCTCGAAAAATCCGAAAAAAAATCATAACTCCTAAACTAAACAAAATCGGACCATATATATGGGGGTGATTTGGGTTCCTCTCGATGTGGGGAATCTAATTTTTTTTTATGACGTCACGTGTTTGGCCACCCTGTATATACAGGGTGTTAATAAAGTATGTAGACAAACTTTAACCATCGAATCCTTCGTCAATTTGAAGACGAAATTTCCATATGAACATGGGTCCGCAACGACTTTGTTTTCAAGCTAGAGCATACTAGCACTAAAAAGAATGATGATATTGTTCTAAAAAATTATAAAAAAATGAAACGTATTTTATTTTAATTAAGTATGGTGGATATCACATGATTGAGAGTTGTTTTCAGACCCTCGATGTACGTAGATCCGGATAATGTTTTCCAGTATTTTTTAAGAAAATACCATGACATTCATTTGTTTTGATCGCAATACTTTTAATATTTAAGAATTGTGCTTATCTAGACACCTATGACGTACCCGAAAACAATTGAATGTATTTTCTCAAATAATTCGACAGCTGTCAAATATTTATTTTTCTTGTCTGGTCATTCTAAAATTCCAAATATTGCTATGTTTTGGTGATTACTAATTGTCATAATCGTCCACTTCAGTAATCAAGAAATGACAGATATGCATTTCGTTTACGGAATGGCTCTGGGTAGCGCTCGACGAGCACGGCGTTTATATCATCAACATTCACGCTCAACTTTGTGAAACCGGCGGTTTCAAGAGATCCACACATATTACAGAAAGACTCACAAGTGTAAGAACCAGAACAAGTACACGAAAAATTGCGCACCAGCTAAATTTAAATCATGTAACGGTATGGCAAATTTTGAAAGATCAGCAACTTTATCCATACCATATACGAGTACAACGTGTAGAAGCGCTGCTGCCTCGAGATTTGCCTATAATAGTTGATTTTTGCCACTGGTTACGTGAAAAAGTAACATTAAATCAATTTTTTTTAAATCGAATTTTATTCACGGATGAAGCATTGTTTTTCGCGAACAGCGATAACAAATTTCCATAATAACCATGTATGATGTGAAGAAAGTCCCCATGCCATAATTGAACATAATACGCAACACGACTTTTCCTGCAATATTTGGATTGGAATCGTTAGTGACCACTTGATTGGCCCTCATTTCCTTCCGCTCAGACTTAGCGGCGAATAGTACCGAAGATTTTTGGAATTCGACATACCTGGATTAATGGAGAAAATTGCTCTTAGAGAATGACGTCGCATGTGGTACGTGCATGACGGTGCTCCGCCACACTTGTATCGTTGCGTGAGTATACCTAGATTTTTGATCATCCAAATCGATGGATTGGAAGAGGCGGACCACAGCCATGGCCGCCTAGATCGCCTGACGTGAATCCTGTCGATTTCTTTTTATGGGGACATTTGAAATCATTAGTATACCAGACTCCTGATCAAAGCATGGAGGACTTAAAAGTCAGAATTGTCGATTCATGACTGACTATACAAAATACTCCGGGTATTTTCAGGAGAATTCGTCAGTCAATGTGTAACAGACTAGACGCCTGTATGACTTTGAACATTTATTGTAAAAAAAAACTATTCGATATTTTCTATGGTTGTCGTTCTATTTGAATGTTAC